GATGACCAGTGCATGATGTCCTACACTGGCAGCAGCGGGTGTGAGCCCCTCCTCTGGTTTTCTCAGCCCCCTCATCCCCTCAGAGTGATGAGTTCTCTGGAGGCGGATAACTCAAGGCTGGGAGCAGAGAACCAGGATGCACACCCCGTGTGCTCAGCCCATCCGGAGGCTTCCACAATAACCCAGCACAGAGCCTACCACTTCCTAAAGTTCCCAGACGCCTTGCTCCCTGGTGGCTCAGCCGTCCAACGGGGAGACAGCAGAGAAAGCAGGTAGAGAAGAGAAACAGGCATTGTGGGTTGTAATTCGTGGAATGAAGAAAATATTCAGGAAGGGAGCGCCTGGTCTAATCTCAGGGCATGGCTCCGTGGAGGTAAAAAGAACATTAAGAACTAAAACCATCCCTGCTGGTGCTGGCTGCTGGTCATTCCCTGCAAGCGCTTCCCCTCCTGCACCTCTCCTGGTCAGGAAAGCCTCCACAAGACTGTCTTAACAGACAAGCGACTTGCTCCCTGCACCTGCGGGACACATTCCTGCATCTAGTGCAGCGGCCAGTAGTGAGGTCAGCACCATCCTCCCTCACACCCGCACAATCTCCTGGAGCGCTGCCTGCATTCCAAAAGCTTTGCTGAGGACTCATTGTACCCCAACTTCACCTGCTGCAAACGTACAACTAACTGGGTGATTTCCGTAAACTTGGGCAGAGTTGCGCAACCATCCGTGCGCACCGCGTCCCACCTCCCCGGCGCGCTGGAATCCCTCCCGGGGTGGAGCCCCCCACCCCCAGCGTCCCTGGGCTGGGCCGCACCTGCTGCGTCTACGCGCCCTGGAGTCCACACGACCCGCGGTGCGTTCGGGGGCTGCCTCCAGTCTCCGCACCTGCTGCGCGCGGGCGCGGAGACCCTGAGGGACCCGTGGAGGACAGCTCGGTCCCACCTGCGCTGCGCTCGACAGCCCCGCCTAGCACCCCCACAGACTGGGCACGTCCCCGGAACCTGGCAGGCTCTACGATTTCCTCCCCTCGCCCAGATCCCTGTGTCCTAACCCCGCCCCCGCGGTCCTCTGAGATCCCCGTGTGCTCTGTGGCTCCAGACCCCGCCTCGCAGCCCGCGCATCCCCCGCCCTCCATGCCTCCCACGTACCCCACAGCCTCCCTGCTCCCCGCGCCCCAGTCCCCCACGTCCCCTGA